AGTTGGGATGATCTGTTTGTATTAGCTTAGCCTAGATGTCTAACACAAGCCCCTTCAAGATAACTGGAAGCTGCCAGCAGTAACACCAGGTGAATTGGAACATAAATGACTTCTAAGCAATAGAATTTCCTCTGTCATTTCAACTCCCACCCTCCCTGAACTGATTGACAATCTACTATTTTGCCACTAGCATCTCTGCCTAGACAGAATATCACTCCTCTCCTCTCTCTTGACATACATGTAGGGAGTAATTTTATTCAAGTGTCTTCGTCCCCTAAATGATACTCAAAGACTGACTTCTCAGCACAAAACACATGGCAGTATTTCCTGTTATGTGCCTTCAAGTCACCTCTGACTTATGGTGACCATATCCTAGTTTTATTGGCAAGATTTTTCAGAGAAGGTTTGCCACTGCCTTTCTGTTAAGTTGAGATAATGTTAGCCTTGGTCTCATGGAGTCATAGTCCAACTCTGAATACACTACACCATGCTGGCTCTGAGAACCCATATATCTGGTCCTAAAAGATTATGATGGGTTCATCATAATCTAAGGTGAGTGTATTGGGGAAAGGTGCTGGGATATTTGCTGCTGTAGTTATCACAGTTTGTTTTTTTAATTTATAAATTTCTAAACATTTCTACTATCCTGGGTTATTTTCTGGCAATTCTTAGCACCAGCTGCAACATTTTATTCCCACTTTTCTATTTAATTCTGAGACATATTTGTAAGGGAGTATACCTTGCTCACCTTTGTTGTTGTTAACTGCCCTTGAGCCAATCTCAGCCCATGGTGACCCTATGGATGAGACATCTCCAAGACCCCCTATCTTCCACTGCTCTGCTTAATTCCTGCAGACCCATACCTGTGACATCCTTAATAGAGTCCATCCATCTAGCTCAGGGGTGGCAACCTTTCTCCTTTAAGGGCCGAGGGACTTCAGCTCCCAGAAGCCTCAGCCATATTGGCCAATAGTCCCATGTTGGCCAATAGCTCCTGGGATTCTGGGAGCTGAAGTCCCTCGGCCCTTAAAGGGGAAAGGTTGTCTACCCCTGATCTAGCTTGTGGCCTTCCTCTCTTCCTACTTCCCTCCACCTTTCCCAGCATTATTGTCTTTTCCAATGAGTCCTTGCTTCTCATGACGTGTCTCAAGTACGACAGCTTCAGTTTGGTTATCCTAGTTCCAGGGAGGTTTCCAGCTTGATCTGCTCTAGGACCCATTTGTTTG